CACCGACATCACTAAGTTGTACTGTGGTATCATTAACTTGTTACAGCAAGTCGAAAAAAATGGCCACAGTCAGCTGACTTGATAACGTTATAAATGCGATTAATTTACCGATATTTATTATACATGTATGAGGTTAACCTTCTTGAACACTGCTTGAAACTAAATAGACAAGTTGAGAAACAGTTTCCTACAAATCAGGGAGGAAATAACAAAATAACACTCAAACGATCCGTTGGGGTAACATTAAGCCAACCGCTGAAAAAATAGACCTCATTCGTCGTTTTTGTGTGGACCCGAAGAGCATAGAATACTTTCCCTGGTATATTTCAAAGCGAAATCGCCATCCAACTGTAAGACCGTCGCTGATTAGCTCCTAAAGCATGATGATCGTCCCCTACTGTTACATAGTTTCGTCTGAAGTGGGCGTGACCGCAAGACGGCGCCAGCGAGATTCGAAAGCCAACCGTTTAGTCAAAACCCAAGCATTTAGCCTATTTGCTAGCGAGTTTGCAAATTGGCTGCCCCAATACTTCGGAGACTTGCTATAAGTGACATTACCTCTTGTGCAATGAAATATCATCATCTTTCCCTTGAGGTACATGTAGAAGCCTACTCATGGATCTCAATACTCAGAATTTATTCAGAAGAATTGTACTTGCAGGCATTACCTGGTATAAGGATATTGATCTAAAAAAAGTTAGGGATCACCAGCTTAATTTTCTGGAAAACTAGTGTATAGTGGTCATTTTGACAGTATTATAATGCTTTTACCGTAGGATCCTATGGTAGAGATATTATGCCATATCTCAAATTGTAGACTGGTGACATAGGCTGAAAAAATAATATATTGTTAATGATAGGGTACTTTTTGTTATCCTAAATTATTTCAAAAATCTGGGTTTTAAAAAATGTCAAAAAATGCAATTTTACTTTAACATTTTGCTCTATGGAATTGTTCTAAAAATAACATTTTTTGAAAATTTTTCTCAAAATATGTCGCTGTAACACACAAAAGAATGCTATTTCATGGTGCCATGGGACATTAGCTTCATGATTTTACATAGTAGACCAACAAACACTGCCATGCTATTTATAACCGACTTTTATGAGTCGACTTCTTCCTTACAGCAATTCCAGGCACTGATTTGACGCTGAAGTAGTGCTAGATGTTGATAACTTACTGCAATAGGTTACACACTTTGTTTTTACATTTACATAAGTTGTTACAAATAATGCAGACAGCATGTCTGCAATTTGAAGCGCCCTAGAAGAAAGCTCCGCCCATAAAAGTGGCAGTACATTAGTTTTGAATTTCTCCTCCTATAAACGATCGAGGCTCTCAACTTAGTTTTGTACTTCAATTTGCGTCACATGTTATTTCAGTGAGAGGGCGCATACAGTGGTGGCACTGTAAAGAATGTTATTTTACAGAACCAGCTGACCGACTGATCATGACAGAATTATTGATCAAAGTGCATTCATTATTCCTACTATGGAAATATTCGTATCACGTCTATGTACATGTACATGTATATAACTGAAAACTGCCTGCAACAAATGTCCTATAAAGACGTCATCCAGTATATCAATAATGAAATTGAATACATAAGTAGAATGGGTGTTATTCGATTATTAGTTCTCGACGATGAGAACCAAAAGGTTTATGTGCCACCAAATAATCGCTTTAAAAAGCTTATCACTGGCAACACACGATCACACGTCGGGGAGGGTTGCCGCCGTACACAAGTAGTTTTTGTCGAATTTCCCGTTCGTAATTGTGCTGTCGCAATGATTTATAATATTCGACATAGTTTATAACGTTGTCAGATTCCTGGCAGGATACTCTCCGTGGTAACAAACCGCTTGACAATATTATAAGCTGTCTGCTTTGAAACAACCATTTCTATCTCTAATCTCAGCAAATGACAGTCCACGAAAATACAAATCGACAACTCTTGTTCTTGACAACTCTCACTTCAACTGGTTTTTTGACTCCTTGCTTCTCCATCGTGGTGCTTAAACAGCTTGGGGGAATGCCGATTTGTAGACGCAAACTACACGATGACCGACCAAAAGTGAATGAAAGACAAACACGCCTCAAAGTCTAGGTGTACCTGACTTTGTAACAAAAATAGTAAACATTGTTTGCGATATCTGTCAATCATTCCTCTGATTTGCTGCCGATGTTTATATTTCTAGTTACAACTTCTGTAAATTTGAAAACAAAGTGTGTAACCTACTGTAGTAAGTTATCAATATCTAGCACTACTTCAGCGTCAAATCAGTGCCTGGAATTGCTGTAATATCATATACATGTATTCAGCTATGGATAAAACATCTAAACATCTAAATCTAGTTTAGCTAGCTCTCAATAACAAAGTTGCTACATGCTCAATTTGCTTACAATTATACATTATTGGTAAAAATTCTTCATGTACCAATTTGTTGTATTCATGTGGACCTTTCTCAGATTTGTTCATTTCATGATGATATATTTAATTAATTCTCTAATTTTGGTGACATAAACCAAGTAATACATGTATTATATGCTGGATTACAGATATATATATATTTAAATTCACTTGAGGTTTTTTAACTTCAAATTGTAAATCCTTCCCATAATTTACACTGTATTAATGAAATTTAATATTATATAAAGCTTTAAATGTACATGTATCACATTATACTCAATGCCTGAAAACCAAATAAAATATATTATTTTATTAGTCCCCGTTCGGACGCAGTCCGAAAACGGGGACTTATGTTTTGACCTCTGTGTGTTCGTGCGTGCGTGCGTCTGTGCATGCGTCCAGACCTGTATCTTAGTAATGCCTGGACCAATCACAATCAAACTTTACACATACATCATACATGATATCATACATATGCACGTCAATTTGTTTCATGATCTGATTCAAGATGATCGAATGGCGGCCATTTTTGTTTTAAAAATCATCAAAATCAAGCATTTCCCGGTTGTTTACAGATGGATTTTGTTCAAACCTTGTATATACGTTGGACATTATAGGACCTTGATGCACATCATTTTGTTTTACGATCTGATTCAAGATGCCTGAATGGCGGCCATTTTTGTGCTAAAAAAATCATAAAAAGCAACCATTTCTCGGCTGTTTACAGATGGATTTTGCTCAAACTTGGTATATACATTAGACATTATGGGACCTTGATGCAAATAATTTTGTTTTTCAGATAATGTGGTTCTCGTGCCATATCTCCAACTTGTTTTGACTGATTATGTTCAAATTTTAAATATTCATTATACATCATGTCATAGATATATTGGTTTGACGATCCTATTCAAAATGGCCGAATGGTTGTCATTTTTGTACTAAAAAATCATCAAATATCAAGCATTTCTGACATTTATGGATGGATTTCGTTCAAACTTGGTACATACATTAGACATTACGGGTTCCTGATGCACGTCATTTTATTTTTCAGATTGGATTCAAAATAGCTGACTGGCGGCCATTTTGTTTTAATGATTGGGTTTCTAGAGCCATACAATGTATCTCTTAAATGCTTTGACTGATTATATTCAAATTTTATATATTCGTTATACATCATGTTATATACATGTATTCAAAATGGCCGATTTTGAATGCTGTTCCAGAGCAATATCTCTCAATATGGACAAGTACTTGTTTGACGATCAGATACAAATGTCAATAATTTTAATGTTAAAAAATCATATTCATGACATGGTTATATTCCAGCTATATTACTATAAACATAACTATATATCCTAAATTTGATAACTAACTGGGATTGTGCCATGCATGGCTTGTTTTAATTTTACAATGTTTTTTTTTCTTCAGAACTTAAAGACAAGTATGACTGGTATAAGCTGAATTATTATAAGGTATTTGATTTGTCCTGTGATTCTGTGCCAGATAAAGTGGAGAGAGTTGACGCAACCAAGACTACAAAAGAAGAATTTATTGAACAATATGAAAGACATTTTAAACCTGCAGTGATAGTGAACAATCAGTTGGATTGGAGGGCGACAAGAAAATGGACACCGGAGGTAATGTGGGTGTTTGAATGACAGAACCACATTTTTAAACCAGCAGTGTGTTGGTTTGTTCAAATGTACTCGATTTTTTCAAAAATAAGTCAAAGGTCAAAATATGACCTTTGTAGTATGTATAAACTGCTCTGTCAGAAATACACATGTTCATTTGATGATATATGAGATGATTTGCAAATACTGTAAAATACTTTTTTTGCTTGGAATTAATTTTTCGCTGATGAAAATAAAATCCAGCAAATATAACTTTTTTTCCTATATTTTACATTCAACTCGTCAAAAATCAGTGAAAATAAATTCCATAAAAACACCCAAAAAGTCCAGCTGAAATAAAGTATTTCACAGTTACTGTAGTAATTTTATCACAATGTCTCTTATTTTCTCTTAATTATTTTAAATACTACCGGTACCCTTATATTTAATTTTCTTTTACTTTGACTAGTTGATAAAAGAACCTGGCTTAATTAGGTCACATAAAGTTTATTTCATCATCAAATCTACCAAGAATTAGCCGTCTATTAAATTAATACAGATTTAAAAAAAATGAGCTCAGAGTTACTAGCAGTGTTAACTACCTACATGACTAAAGTTTTGGGTCACTTTCCTTACAATATACACAGTTGGCTAAAACATTTTTCAAACTTCGCTGTTTACCGTAGTATACAAATTAGATGGATTGTTATGATTTTACTTAAATTGTTCTAAGCAGTGGAAGTATAGCACATGACAACTAATATTTACAGTTCTGTTCTTTACTTGAGTCATTTTATTTATGCTGTACATAATATTCTGCCATACATTCTCATAGTTATGAAATCAAAGGGAGTTAGTGAAAAGTAAAGAAGGCTTTTAGCATCATTGCATGTTTGGGTCATGGTGTCATTTGAACAGTAGCAGTATCGGTACAACTTAAATTAAAAAAGCCATCAAAAGAATATACATTGTATCTTTCCTAATGCTTATACTTTCTCTCATGAAAAGTGTCACAGTCCAGTGTTGTTTCCAACATGGGTCCCATGCATGCATACAATGCATATGTACAAAAAATGTACATGTACATTGTTTATTTGCACTAAAATCGATTGGGTCATTAACTACTTCCTATGGATAATACAGTTATTTGTCTCATTTGCTCACTATTTTGGATTAATCTTCAGTTGTACTCATTGTTTTATAGAAACTTGCCAGAAAATACCGCAATCAGAAGTTCAAGTGTGGAGAAGACAACGACGGTTATTCCGTCAAATTAAAAATGAAATATTACGTAGATTATATGCAAAATAATAAAGATGATAGTCCTTTGTACATATTTGATAGCAGCTATGGAGAGGTAAGGAAACATATCACATTGGGTTAGCTAAATTGAACCTGGTTGTTATAGCTTTGATACATGCCTCCAGTGTTAAAGAATCTTTAGTCCAAGCAAAAAAAAAAAAAATAGATTTCAGATGAAAGTGTGAAGGATCATAGTTCATGTGTGTGTCCTTTTGTCCAGACCCACATCTCAGATTAAGCATGTGATACTTTACACACATATTACATTATAACACACATCTTTATGTGTATTTGATTGAAGATAGCATTACCACCAATCTGGAACCATTTATCAGGCAGGTGGGCATGCATGGATTTTGTTCATACATTGTACTTGGTTCTCATAACAATATAAGTTTGTCAGTCACTTTGTTCATACATACATGTATATATCAACTAAAACATGCTGGCATTGTGTCAAGTTTTAAAATATTAACTACTGTTGGATTTCAGGGAGCCTCCCTAAGTTACCACAAATAAATCTAAGTTATCAGTTGCGTGTTTCACTTGTTGCGATGAATAATAAAATTATATACTTATATTTTTTGTACAGCATACAAAACGAAGAAGACTTTTAAAAGATTATACATTACCAAACTATTTCCAGGATGATTTATTTAAATATGCAGGAGAAGCCAAAAGGCCACCATACAGATGGTTTGTTATGGGGCCTGAACGATCTGGTACTGGCATACACATAGACCCCCTGGGTACAAGTGCTTGGAATGCCCTTGTGGTGGGCCACAAAAGGTGAGAAAATATTGACTATATGAAGCAGAATGACTTGTAAATAAGTAAGATATAAAGTTCATCTTAAAAGATCTATCATTCACACTCAAGTTTCAGCAAAAACAATAATTTCTTTTTTGCTCTGGCAAATCATCAATATATACCATGGGCAATATTACAATAGTTTTATGATGTAATAGTCAATACATGTATATGTAAACTACTTACCACATCACCTACTTAAAGCCTTTACAGAATATCAAATAAATGGAAAAAAGGGTGTTGGCAAGTAATTTTGTGAGAGACATATTTTGTGAAATTTACTAGTCAGTGAAAATCATGAAATTTTGTAGCAGTGAAAATTATTCTGGATCTTGTTACAATTTCGTCCTCTTGAATGCCATATCATGACAATTCCAAAAAGTTTACAGTGGTTTATGACCTTATTTCAGACTTCTTTTTATTTCGAGCAGATAAGAGTGGTACTTTAAAATTAGCCTGTGATGCATAACAACTCTTGTTTTTCTTTCTTTATATAGCCTTTAAACTACCTCCTATTTTTTTATTTACATTTAGATTGTACTTTTACCCAAATTGCCACTGCGCAACTCTCCCAAAGCAGAATTTTGATTCCATGTGACATATTATGCATGTAATTTTCAAACCATCTACAGCTGCTAGTGTATCAAACATTATTTTATTGAAACTTGTGAAATGGTCATTGTTATTGTGGTCAAAGAGCATGTTCAATTTGTGTCATGTGTGATGTATACAATGCATGTAAAAATGTACACAAATTTAGCATGCAATGTTTGTGGCATTTTGAAGTGTTGATCAAAGGCTTCTAATTTAAAATATTTTTTTAGAGGTTTCTCAATACAGTAATATAAGTTAACAATTAGCTCCAGACAAAAATTCCATGTTAATATAACATGTCTTCATTATCTCTTCAAGGTGGTGCATGTTTCCAACACATACTCCAAAAGAATTGATCAAACTCCGTCCAGGAGAAGGTGGTCAACAGCGAGACGAAGCAGTTATGTGGTTTAAAAAAGTCTATCCAAGAACTCAGCTGCCTTCATGGCCAAAAGATTGCCAGCCGGTAAGTAGAAATACATACTGTCAACCCTTTATGTAATTTCTACCATTTTGCAACTTTCATTTTAATTTTTGAAATTAAAGAATAAAAATAAAATGTTATTAAATTAAGAAATGCTGGTGCTGTGAATGCTTTCTTAGTTTATCATGTGGGTTTTCAACTGTTTTGTAACATTCATTCTATTCAAGTTCAGCAAGTAATAAGCTAGTGTGTGTGTACCTGCAATGCTGTTAGAATTTAAGTTATTAGTTCGATGAGCAAAATAAAAAAACATTTGATTTTGCCCTGAAAAATAATTTTTTATCCTAAAACTGTCTGTCTGGCTGAGTGTGATGCTGTCCTTATAAATGACAAATGGCCTATTGAAGACTGCATGTGGCAAGTCCCAACTAACCAGAATGTATCATTGCTGCGTGTCATGTGTGTACATGATAAAATAAATAAAAATATAATTTTGACGATACTGTGCCCAGCTTTATTTTCATGTATCATGAAGTTAGTCGCAGAGAACATCTCACTTGGGGTCTTCGGACAAGGAGTCACAGCACTTTGAAACATAGTTCTTATTTATTAATTAACAGTGTTTCTCAACATTTAGCCAAATCAAGCACTATTGTAACAGTGGTGAAATGTACTACTCAAAGCTGTTGGTATATTTTGTATTCAAGATATTTCATTGACTTTATCACCTGTTATTGTTGTAGTTGGAGATTCTTCAAAAGCCAGGTGAGACTGTTTTTGTTCCTGGTGGTTGGTGGCATGTGGTCATTAACTTGGACACAACAATTGCAGTGACTCAAAATTTTAGCAGTGTGACTAACTTTCCTATCGTGTGGCATAAAACTGTGCGAGGACGACCAAAGTTAGCTAAGAGATGGTATGCTGCCCTCAAGGTATGTTGGCCCTTAATACAAAACTAGTAGTATTCAATATTTAATATAAACTTCAATACTGTGTTTCACATTGTTTTCACATTGTGCTAATAACAGACCAATATTAGTCGCCAACCTTCTAGTTTGAAAAGCTAATATTAAATTTTTAAATTAATTTTAAATATGCCTCCAATACACTCAGTTCTTACTAAGCTTTCTTTGATTTAGATTTATTATATAGTATGTTTATTGCTATACAATGACTTATGTGAAAAAAAAATAGTTGAGTCATAGACCAATTTTTTGGATAAATTTGATATTTCACTTCAAATTTGTTGGGGATTTCTTGAAACTCAAAGTAATGAGACAATGTGTCTGACACTGTGTTTAAAAAAAATAAAAATTTAAGATTAGTGTTATGGACTAATTTGTAAAGACATGGCAGATTCAATAGTTTTACCTATGCTAATACATTAAATGTTTTCTTGTGCGAAACTTTAAATCCATGTTTGTGAAACTATTGATTAAACATAACTGGAAATTAGTATTGAAGAAATTTTTTAAGTCTTTTCACAGTGACAATGACGAAAAGGATTTTACCTGTTCACACTAATCATGATAAACAATTGTATTCATGAGGAGGTGTCTCCATGAAAAAAAATATAAATTTGACTATAATTTAGACATGCAGAATAGTTGTCAAAATTACAATACTATGGAGTTATAATAAGTAGAGATGCTATTGTCTTATGACATTATGTGTTTGTATTAAAGAAACATCGCCCTGAACTAGCTGCCATTGCTGACAGTGTTGATCTCAGTAAGCCAACAGATTTAGCATCAGATAGCTCAAGTTCAAGTTCTAGTAGTAGCAGTGACAGTGACTGCTCAACGTGCTGCTCCTCTGACGACTCGGACAGTGATGTGAATGATACAAGGCGAGAAAGTGACAAAAGAACTAAAAGGCAAGTCCTTGACACAATACTAATAAAGTGTAATGCATTTTTAGTCCCTGTTTCAGGCGCAGCCCGAAAGGCGGAGTATTAATTCTTGTTTCAATTTTCTGACTGTAATGTAATGTCTCTAAAATTTTCTCAGAAATTCTGCAGCAGATATTGTTGAAACTTGGCAGGTTGATGAACAAATTGTAATGCTAGGGTTTTTCGTGATGTCATGACCTTGATCAGAATCAGTGACAGATGGGTCATACCATTTCCAATCTCAGTGGAATATGTTGATGGGTGTCAGGGCTACATTTTGATAGGAATTATATAGTGGTGATACTGAAACAAACTCAGGTCCTGGTAATATACAAAGACCTGAATTAACAAAGAAGTCAAGTTGTTATTAAAGATACATCAAGGTTTACTCAGATTTATGAATGCAGTTTCTTGAGCATGTATGAGACATAGCTTGGTTGCACTTGTGTACTGTACTCTGAGATTTTGGACCTGGTCAATGAAAGTTTTCAGTTATCAGATTAAGGGAAATCACATTATGATGAGTTGAGTACATATTAATTCAATTGTTTGCAGATGTTTCATGTATTATTTTAACATGAATATTTTATAATTAAATAACGGGGATTGTGACATTAATGTCTTGTTATCATATACAATGTACCTTGTATTGCCCATTCTTGGAATGAAAAGTGCACTGTCACATCAGGGAAATAATTTCCTGTATCACTCCTGGCCCAGCGCAGACGGCTTTCATCATTCAAAACAAAACCTGTCATTCTAAATTACTTTGTGTGTTTGACGTCACACTGTGGTCAAATTGTAACTACATCTATAACATATATGATAAAACCTTTATGGCCTGGATACAACTTTTGTTGTCCTTAGTCACACGGCTTACGCGCCACATGAGCTCAGGCCACAAAAGCTGTATCCAGCCCATAAAGAATAATATTATACCTCTTTATCACCCCCTGATTACTGTATGCGATAGATGAATGCATCCTGAACTTGGTAGCATACAGTCTGAGCTGCTCTGTTCATGTCTGAGCTAAATACACACATACTTTGGAGGGGAGAATATTTATATAGCTCTAACATGAGTGTTGTACACACTGGGATGTCATTATTTGATGTCATCAATTAAACTGTTTTCTTTTGATACCACAGACGAAAAATCTCTTCAGATCATGAAATGGAACAAGAGAGACAAAGAAGCTTGTCTTCAACTCCAAAGAATTGTAGATGACATAATAACGCAGGCTTTATGCAGTAACTACTTACTAACACATTGTGATCTTGCCAATAATTAATGTTGAAATGACATGAGGAGAACCAATCATAAGACCATTGTAGGTATGACTAGGTTTGCTGGTAGAATGTATGGACATACAGCATATCTTGATGGTAATTACTATATGCAGTAGAAGGGGAAAACAATTCCTTGTAGGGGATTCAACTTAGCAAGGGATTATGAATAAGGAAGTTGAATGGCTAGAAGGACATTGAACAGCTAGAAAGGGTAATGGATGGCTAGACATGACAATTAGTGGTTAGAAGTTGATAGCTAGAATGCTGTTGATAACCAAAACTACTAGTTCTAATTTCAACAATCTGTCTGCAACAACTGGTCACGATATGTATATCAGTAATGCAGTTGCTCACTGGACATCAGCAATTTGCTGGTATTTTTTGGAAAATGTCTTAAAAAATAGAAATGTCAAATGAAGAAATGAAGCTAGTTGCCATTGTAGACAAAATGTCCTAAGCTAATTTTGAGAGAACCGATATATCTATACCCGGTATCCATATTTAGCCAGAGGCTCTGTTATAACAGTCTAAGGATATAGAGGGCGCTCTACAAACATGCTCAGCACAAATCATGATGATCTATTCTGTTTAATTTGAACTGGATTTGCCAACAGTGAAAAATTATTATAATTATCATGGATACAAATTACCAAATGTGATATAATTTTTAGTATTACAGTAAAACATGTAAAAACTATTGTTCTCTTTGGTCAAACTCTCCAGCATGGTGACTTATTACTGTAAACTCATTAAATATTCAATGGATTTTTATTTTACCATTTTTGTTGATTACAGAAATCTGCTAAATTAACATGTAAATTACAATTGAACCTTGAATTTGAAAATCCTCCAGTGAATATATGGTGACAAAATTGTAAAGTTTAATACCATTGAAAATTAATGCTTTTACAGTACAGATATTTTCTAAAACTGTCAAGTTAGTATTTTTCAGATTTCTAATAAATCAGGCTTCTAATCGTTTGATCACACCAATTAAATTTAAACATCTAAAAAATTGTATCCTCAAACACTATATACATATCTGTATTTTCAATACATGTATTGTATTGTAGGTGTTGATTTTTCTGAAAATCAGAGGAACTTAGAAGTATTAGTAAATGAAAAGCTAAATTAGAACACATTGGCTGTTTTCTAGAATTTAATAATGTATTACCGGTACCTTATTATGTGACTTCCAGGTATTAATTTTTTTTTACAGTCGTACAACATTTGGAGGCCTTGCCAAAGTTATCGTAATGACGCCCCATGGTGTTAAAATCAAAGATTATGAAAAAAAAAAAACATATCCAAGTAGTATTGTTATATGATACATTTTTCTTTTTTATTCTATCAGCTAACGATTTAATACTCAAACACTTAGTATGTAATATGAACAGTCTTGATTACCAAAGAGAGACGGAAAACACTTAGTATGTAATATGAACAGTCTTGATTACCAAAGAGAGACGGAAAACACTTTGTTCTATTTTTTATATGTATTGTTTTTGATACAACTTTTTAGCATCAGTAGAGTCTGCTATATTCACACTTAGTGTGATTGTTACAGTAATAATGATTCAAATTCTGAACAATTTCAAATAATTTCAAAACTAGGGGTATCATGTTTTTGCACATACACTTATGTGAATAAAAAGGTGTCTAGTCAAATAAGTTATATTTTAATGATCCAGTATTCACAAAATTGTTGGTTGATGTGTGCTTCTAATAGATCAAATACTGTTTTGGAAACACATCTCCAACTGAAGTTTATATACTGTATTTGCTTTATGTCAAATCTGTAAACACATATGTACATGTATGTATGACATTTGTTCTACTAGAAAAACATCTTTAATAAAAACACACATGAACCCAAAATTGTATCGTATGCTGTAGCATTAAAATTCAATTTATTTTGATTACAGATAGACACCTGTCATTTACATACATGTATTAAGTGTATGTGCTACTAATAGAGTAAATACGGTACTACCAGTTACAAGGAAGTGTACTTCTAATCACTATGTGTTTAATGGATATTTTCTAAACTAACTGTTTACAAGGAATGTTTTGTTACTATGTAACTATTAAAGTACAAATGTTAATTAGGTTTAGTAATTTTGAACTTGAACTGTGCTCCAGTATCCTGTGGTTTCGTTTCCAACTGTGGGAGTCCTCTTCTCCAAAGCTATTGAGTCATTTGATTATGTCTATATATTGTTTTCAACAAAATTATGCAATGTAGCTAATTAAATATCTTTTCTGTTAACATGAGAGTACTGATGTCTGGTTCTTTCTGGGTTCGATGCATATGGGTGTGAGATTTGTACTACTTTCAATGCTGTCAATACCTAAACATAACGGTACTACCAGGTATGCTTAAGTGCTGTGGATCATAGATCATTTTTTATACTGTGAGATCCTGAGTTATGCGTGTAACCGAAAGGAAAAAATAGCATAGCATTTTAGTGTTGTCTTAAAATTATGTTGGATTCAACAAATGCGTAACTATTTTCCAAATAATTTCTAGTTCTGGTTCACATACCTCAGGATATTATATATAACATGTAAAGATTCTTTTGATTAATCAAATAGTTTGGCCCCAGCTTGAATTTGTAGCAAAAATAACCACAATTTTTGACTCCCATGTGCGAAGCACATAATGGGAGTCTTTGCAGTTAGTGTGTCTGTATGTGTGTGTGTCTGTATGTATGTATGTGTGTCCGACTGTTCCACTGCTATCTCAAGAACCATACATCGGTTTTTGATGAAACTTGGTGCATAGATGCTCTGGGCCAATGCGCAGATTTGATTAGGTTTTGGTAAAAATCCATGCTCGATAATTACCTAATTTGCATGATAATTAGCTAATTTGTAGCTGTTCCATTACTGTTGCACTGATATTTAAGGAACCACTAATTGGATTTTGATGAAACTTGATACATAGATGCTCTGAACATATGCGCAGATTTGATTAGTTTTGGTAAAAATCCGTGCATATTAATTACCTAATTTGCATGATAATTAGCTATTTTTTAGTGGGTCCATGACTGTTCCACTGATATCTAAACAACCACACATTGGATTTTGATGAAACTTGGTACATAGATGCTCTGAACTAATGCTAGGTTTTGATTAGTTTTTGGTAATAATCCGTGGATACTACCACTGATATCTCATGTACAAATCATCACATTTCAATGAAACTTGGTACATAGATGACATATATAATAATCCAATTTCCAGCCTTCTAATTGTGTCTCAAGGACCAGATTTCAATTATACATGGTTGCAGAGATACCGGTAAGCCATATGTGTCATGAGTTTAAGCCTATAAGGTTAAATTTTGTGCTAATTACCCAATATGCATAAATTAACCAATTTATATATTCTGTTGCAAATGAGGACATGTAACAATGATGCATTTGATAGAGATAAAACTAGCATAACACATGTCCACATATGGTCATGTGACCTCATTAATTAATATCTAATTTTCAGAGCACTGTTGCAGTCAGAAATATGCATTCAGTGCAACATTGAAATCAATGAGATATGACTAACAAAAGATGATCATATATGCTCATATGACCTAATTAATATGTATGACTTAAATATAAGAACTGCTGCAGATAGTGATACAGATAACACATACGATTAACACATCAGGTGAATATATATGGTCATGTGATCTCATGAATATGCACTGTTGCAGTATATAATTCAGTTGTCATACAGGATATATGACCAAAATATCGAGTCATCATATATGGTCATTTTTTCATTAAACATTAATAATTGTTATACCAGTGTGGAACCACCCTGATCATTGCTTGTAGTTATATTCGTAAATGCTTTATTTGTTCTTGTATAAATGTAAATCACAAAGGCAAGTCAAAAACACAATAGTCAAAATAAAACATATTTCAATGATTTTGCACGCAATAAATTTCAATTATTGCTTTGCATATTGGAGATGTGCTTATAATATAGTAAAAATACCCTCATCACACAGGAGTTTTCTTTCATTGAACATAACTAAGATATAATGTACATGATGGAGTATCATGATAGTTATTACTACCAATATTACAAAATATAATCCCAGCAACTGTGCTTACTATTTTGGTTACTGTCAACAAGTATGTCATTTATTCAATTTCAAGTTATGACTTTGGTACATGTACAACTCAAAATTCACAAGTTTGTTTACATCAAGTTCAGATTTTTAAATAGCCAGTTACCAAGAAAAATTTCAAAAGTATTTTAGCCGTGTTCGTCCGTCGGTGAATACCTAGATCATGTGATTGAAATACTCTATATTCATTGGATCTTTTTGAAAGTTTTGCCGAAGTATGTAAACTTGTTTAGCTGCAGTCTGTAAGAAATCAGAGTGGACACCTTCTAGAGTGTTGTACTGAGGAATAAAAAAGCTAGGGCACAAACCAACAGCCAAACAGTGCTCGAATTCTTCCAAGACTTTCAAAATACAATTGTATAGATTGTACTTGGACCAGAATATGGCTGGCATTGTTTCAAGCAGTTTGAAAATTGTAGATTTCAAGTGATAAGAACTAAGTATTTTAGGGGGTCCTAAATGCTCTTTCATTAAGGATTTAGTTAAAATCCAACACTGTCTGATTGCATTGTCTTTGTCTTGAAAGAACTCGTCACAACACAAAAAACCTTCAGTCAATGAGAAAGATATTCTCCATTCCATCGCACTGTCACCTTTCACAGAACTCTTGGCAACAAGGTAGAAGAGACACATAGGGTCGTCCTCAGATGTCAAATATTTAACTGTTTCAATGTTTGGCCACTCTCTGGTACGTGTTAACCATGACATTGGGCCAACCTTTGACACAAATACATGGTACAAAGTCCATTTCCAAAGTCAGCTGGAAATTACTTGTCTCATCCGGATGTCGTATGAACTGCAAAGTACATGCTGGTCCATGTTGCTTAGCATTGATTTCAGCGACATCATCTTCCAAAACACAACAGCATGACATCATTTCACAGAATTTCTGTTTTACCATATCAGGAGAGAGATAAACTGTCTCAATGCCTTGCCTTGTAACAAAATGGCAACAGTCTCTCCACAAGGTCACCGTTGATTTGTCAGTTACCTGTATCCAGACAAACCCTGGTGGAGGATTTTTAAAATCAAGCTCAATGTTTTTACCCACTTCTAAGCTGTTCATAGAAATCAAATAATCAAAATCGTACACTACTTCTTGAATCAGTTGGTTACCTTTCACTTTCACTTTGCTCATTGGGTAATTAAGAAATTCAAAGGAGCTTCCAGCCTGTTGAAAACTATGTTGATGAAAGCACTTGTATGCATTTTCTTTCTTTGTCATGTTTTCCATTCGAGGTTCAATTTTTGCTAAGATATTGTTCCGAAAATCGCTGACTTTATCTTCTAATATTGGTACAATTTTTTTATCTCTCATTTCAAACTCCATGTACATTTCCATTGAGATGCCTCCTGGTATTGAGTAAAGTCCAGGAAACATGGCTGGAGCCACTGCAGTACTAGGACTGGGATATTTTTCCGTAACAACACCATCATCACTTTTTTCAGTGTCTGATTCAAAAATATTTGCATGTGGCTCATTTGATGTCTCACTGTATTGCTGTCCAATTAATTCATCTGAACTCATTGATACACTGACGGGTTGTTTCAGTGATTCTGAGCAGCATGCAGATAGTGACTGTATGTGTGGTTGCCTTGGTAACTCTTCTTTATATGTCTTAGACTTAAGGTTATCTTGTGGTCGAGCCATTCTGCAAAAACAATTGTAAATACAACCAATTTGTAAACATAAAAAAGTCATGGTTATTATATTCCATTAAGCCAAGCAAAAAAGTTTTCAGTTCCAAACTTTGTATATTTTGCATTACCCAGTCTACAGCAGTATATGGTCAATGTGCCACATGTTAAAATAAATACAAAAATATTGCTACCAACACAGGGATAGTACAGTTTGTTCAAAATGGCAACGAGCATCATGAGACATTTTTATTACTGTAAAATCTGTATTAGAAACCGCGGCTTCTATTAAAATGGTACAATGCAGTAGAGGGGATGCGGCTTCTATTAGAGCACCTAAACATATGAGAAATGATGAATTTTTCGTTCTCAATTATTCAAAAAGGATGGGTGCGACTTCTATTAGGGATGCGGCTTCTAATACAGATTTTACGGTACTAATTATTTGTCATATTTTGAGTGTGAAACTTTTAACAAAACTTTAACAGGCCCTTTTGTCTGAAATGATTGAACAAAATTATGACATTTTGAAAAAAAAATACCAGCAAATTCCTGATGTAGCCATATATGTAAAGTTGGGGGACATTGTGGTGTAAAGTCACAGCTTAAAACTACTTGCAGGTATACTTGTGGACAATTTATAAATATCAAAAATCAATTAGAGTGGACAGTAACTAAATACTTAATTTAAGTCTTGGGGGAAAAGTACCAACAAAATGAACCTTTACTGGTAA